GGCTGGGGGGACACTGCAGGCTGGGGGGACTGCGGGCTGGTGGGCTCAGCAGTGGGCACTGCTGAAATGACCACTCTGCTCACCATCCCAGGGCCCCGACCCTCCTCTGCACTCGCCTTCTGAGAGACAAGCTCGGAGCTCCCACAGTGACCTCCAGCCTATGGTCAGGAGGATTCAGTGACCTCCCTAAATAGCTCCCAAGTGCACAGCTGCAAAGGAAGCGCAGGTCCAGCAGCACTAATTACAGCCACAGAGACAACGCCGTGGGCGGGGGGTGCTTGGCGCACAGACACAGTGACACTCGCCGGGCGGTGCAGGCCTTTCACTGAGGACAGTGCCGCCCCGGCCTCCCGAGGGTGGGAACTGGACGGTCTTCACCAGGTGATGATGCTGACGGATTAACCACCCTGCTCCCTCCAAAGGCTCCCCTTCCAGGCTCACAGCTGCACCAGGAAATGACACTGAGGTGGCCGCCCACGGATTAGGTGGTGGCATTTCTCCGTCACCAGTGGAGTGGGCTTCCTGGGATGTCTTCAGAAAAGGAATTTTCTAAGACGTGCACGGAGAACGAATGCTGCTTGTTTGCGTGGAATGATGTGTTTCCACAGTCCCACGTCCCTTAACCCCGTCCTGGGGGATGTGCACGGGGCTCTGGCTGAGCTGAGAGCAGGGCCCGTGTGCAGAGCGTCCATGCCCTGGTGTGGCGTCCACATGGCCAGGAGCCACGTTGGCGGGTGCAGGGGAGCACGCCCCCCAACAGGAGTCTCAAGAGAGCCCAGAGCACGAGGGGGTGGGGGCGTGGAGGCCCCTTTGTTCAGGCGTGAAGCATCTCAGGGTTCCAGGCCTCTTCTGGCCACTGACTCGCTCCCAGGTGTGACTGACAGGTGAGCATCTTCCCACATCACCTGCTGTCACTGGGCTGTGTGTGTGGTCCAGGCCCCTCCCCCAGGATCGGAGGGGACTGACGTGGAGAGGGTGAGCTGCGGTTCCTGGCAAAGCCGTGTAGGTGGCCCATATTCTAGGCTCCCCTTCGCTCCTTTCCTGCTCAACAGGAACCAGGTTGTGACGGTATCAAACTGGTGCATGTTCTAAGCCCCGAGGAGGTGAGACTTCATGCGTGCTTGCAGGTCGTCGTTTCATTCACACTCCGCCACCCGGGCCGCCGAGCAGACCGGCGCTCCTCAGACACCGGCTCTGACCCGGGCGCCGACCCTGAGCCTCTGCGTCCTCTGAAGCCGCCCGGGATGGACGACAGCGGCTGGCGCGGCAGCTGGAGGGCAAGGTCCCCATTCTCTTGGACACAGAATCCTTCCAGCTTCTGCTCAAGTGGGCGCGGGGCTGAGGGTGCGGCCACAGGAGAGAGGGACCCCTCTCTGTTGCTGTTGGGCCTCAGCCCGTGGAATAGAGGTGGGTCTCTAGACGCCTCGAGGATGAGGCAGCCACGTAGTCTCACACCACGGAGCGTGGCGCTGTGGCTGGACTCGTGTGGAACGGATTCTGAGCCTTGGGCCCTGCCCGCCACGCGAGTCTGCCCTGCGCTCCAGCAGCGAGGTGGACGGTATTGTCACGGCTGGTGTGGTGCCATCAGCAACACCAGGGACACTTCCCCCTGCGTCTGCCATCACCCCCGCCGTCTGTCCTGGTGACCGATTTTCCATGTTTCACGTTACCCGGCGACCCCATCCCTCAGCCTGAACCCGTCTTCCTAAGACACCGGGTGCTGC